CAAGAGGGACACAGGAGATCAGGAGGGACACAGGAGATCAGGAGGGACACAGGAGATCAGGAGGAATATAGGACATCAAGAGGGACACAGGAGATCAGGAGGGACACAGGAGATCAGGTAGGACAGGAACACAGGGGGACTACATCTAACCAGTGATCACTATACATGTCATAGGATATTTAAAGGGACCTGAGAAGGAAACCATCTGACATCTGCAGACATGTCCCTGTATTGTTTGATACTGATCTTCCTGTCTATGAGTCCAGTGAAGCTGATCAAGGCTGGTGATCCCTCTCCTGCAGGGATGCTGAACCCGGCCACAGACCCCTGTCCATGCACATGATGAGACTCTATGAGAAGTACAGTCGGGAAGGCAGCAGAGCTCAGGATGGGAACACAGTGAGGAGCTACAGAGCACAGCCAGGTAAGTCCCAGGTCGGAGTGTAGGTGGGAGGGGGTGGGGAGTTCTTCTGGATAAAGAAACAATTGAGTACTGACGTGATACTTTTTTATTTGCACTAACATACAATTTTGAAGACAAGCTTTCGGGGTATGTCCCCTTCTTCAAGGTCCAGGCAGTACTACCTTCTGGATAAAGGAAATCATTGGAAGGATGGGACTTCTTTATGGATTATAAATACGTGCAGCGCCTTGTAGAAATGAGAGTTGTCAGTAGATCCTGCGCTCTGTACATCATCATCATCACGTCTCAAATCCGTCAGGGTACCAAACTAAGGGTGGCCATACACACTGCAATTTGATTGTACAGTATTGTAATATACCTATACAATTCAATCAATTTCTATTAAATCTCACAGGTCTGTATAGTTGTTGTTAGATCTAAAGGAAACATACAATCTGATTGTATAGTGCATAGCCGGCTTAAGGGTCACCATACACATTACATGCTAAGCATACAAGGTCTGTACAATCTGTTTTAGATTTACCAGGACTATGTTAAATGAAGACTATCCAGTTAATTTGTAGCCAGTCAGGCAGACCCGTGTACTGTATTATAGTTAATGGTAGATCTAAAGGAGATTGTACAATCTGGTTGTATAGTGTAGGGTCATCTTAGGGGAATCATTCGCATTACTAGCTATCCATGCAATCTTTGTACAATCAAGTTTAGATTTCCCAAGATAATGTTATTTGAGGACCTACCTAGACTCTCCAATCAATTAGTATCCAGTCAGGCAGATCCTTGTACTTTATAGCTATTGACAGATGTAAAGGAGATTGTACAATCTAATTGTATAGTGTATGGTCAGCGTAGGGGGCATCATACGCGTTACTAGCTAACCATACAATCTCTGTACAATCAAGTTTAGATTTCCCAAAACTAGACTTACCTAGACTATCCAATCAATTTGTATCCAATTAGGCAGATCACTGCACTACATAGTTGTTAGATCTAATGGGGATCATACTTTGATTTGATTATCCAATCAATGTGCAATTCGATCAAAACAATCAAATCTGTAAACAATCGAATAGCCATAGCTTCTGATTGATTTAGATTGTATTCAGTTGAACTGAAAATAATTGTACATTTTGCATGGATCGGCAAACACATGTTCATACAATCGCAGTTCAATTGATCGGATGACGAGTTTACATGGTGGAGACAGAGAAATATTTGCTAATTTACAATCGTAAAGCTGACCATACACATAGATTTTTCAAACAATTGATATGAATATTCTCAGCACATTTGATGACTGGATGAATGTCGTTGAAAAAACATTTTAAATTTTCATTTGATTTCAACATTCAGTTTTGGAATGAATGGACTTTCCCAAACAACAACCACATTCTGCTAGTGTATGGCCAGATTAAGATACAATAATATATTTGGTAGATTGATCAAAATCGACTTTTCCTTTGTGGTATATTGATCGGATGCATTGCCAACTATAGATTGATTATTCCTATTGGAAGAGATCTAGCAGAAAATAAATAATTTATTAAAGTGTGTATGACAACCGTTAAGGAGATTGTAGAATCAGAATTGATTAGTAAATGGCCAGCTTAAGTTATACATGAAGTTTTATGGTGTTTTAGTTGCATTACCATTGAAATCTATATAACATGCGTTTTGATGAAAGCAAATCAAAGATGCAGCAAGCTAGATTTTTTTCTGACACACCGTACCTAAAGCACATGTAAAACAGACAGGTGTGGACAGGACCTAAGGCTAGCCCATGCACTGTACAATCTGATTGTGCAATCTACAGCAATGTAGGTCAAGGGCCTGCATGTCTGAATACCAGATGAATAGATTGTTTAGGCTTCTTTCACACTGATAAGTTTTTGTTCTGCTTTTGCATTACAAAAAGCAGAAGAAAAACGGGTGACCATGTATTCCTATGCAGCTCTTCACACGGATCCGTCGCGGGTCCACTGTGCTTTTTAAAATCCTGTTTGCTGCATTTTTGGTTCAGTAAAAAAAAAAACCACACCAAAAAAACACCTCCCCATTGAAATCAAAAAAACATCAAAATGCATATGCAGTCACATGTTCTTTAAAAATTGCAAAAAGTACGAACATGGTAATAACGCATAGCAGTGGGTCAGTGTGAAAGTAGCCTTACAGGGGTTTTTATATGACAGTTTTTGGAAAAGCTAAATGAGATTGTACAATCAGATCCTATCATGTATTGCCATTCGATGATCTGTCATATCTGACCTAGTGTTACAGGGCTGACTAAAGGTTGACATACACACTACAATCTGATTGTAGCTCATTTATGTCTACCAAAACCATATAGTAAAAGGAGAAACTTATACAGTCCAATCAGTGTCTGTACTTTTGCACAGGACTGTATGTTATATAGTTGTTAGCAGATCTAATGGCGATTATACAGTCAGATTGTATAGTGTATGGTCGACTCTAAGCAATGCACAGATTAGTTTGTTTTTGTTTTTTTTTTACATTCAGTCTGAAATTGTTGAGTAGCCTGCAGTGAATCAATTTTGACCTCTCTGATACTACAAGAGAAATGGATAAGGAGTCAGAAGCTCCTTAGAGAGACAGAGAGAGGGTGGGGAGAGAGACAGAGAGAGGGGGAAGGGGTGAGAGAGACAGACAGACAGAGAGGGGCAGAGAGAGAAAGAGAGAGAAACAGAGAAACACAGGGAAGACAGAGAGAGACAGAGACAGAGAGAAAGAGAAATGGAGAGAGAGAGACGGAGAGAGAGACCGAGAAACAGAGAGAGAGAGAGAAAGACAGAGAGAAACACAGGGAGAGACAGAGAGAAAGAGAGAGAGAGAGAGAGAGAGAGAGAGAGAGAGAGAAAGACAGAAACAGAGAGAAACAGAGACACAGAGAGAAGAGAGAAAGAGAGAGAGAGAGAGAGAAGAGAGAAAGAGAAGAAGAGACAGGAGAGAGACAAACAGAGAGAAAAAGGGACAGAGAACAGAGAGAGAGAGAAAGAGAGAGAGAGAGAGAGAAACGGGGGAGAGAGAGAGAGAGAGAGAGAAAACAGTGAGAGGGGGGGGGGGGAGACAGAAAGAAAAACAGACAGAGAGAGAGAAACAGAGACAGAGAGACAGAGGGGGGGGAGACAGAGAGAGAAGCAGAGACAGACAGAGATAGAGAGAGACAGAGATAGAGAGGGGGGAGGGAGATGGACAGAGAGAGGGGGGGAGACAGAGAGAGAGAGAGACGGGGGGAGCAGAGAGAGAGCGAGAGAGACAGAGGGGGGTGCAGAGAGAGCGCAAGAGAGACAGACAGACAGAGAGAAACAGAAGAGAGCAAGAGACAGAGATGGGGACGGGAGAGAGAGAGAGATGGACAGAGAGACAGAGATAGAGAGACAGAGATGGGGGGAGAGAGATCAGGTGGGTGGGAAAGGGTTAAGGGCTCATTCAGAGATACTGTGAAGGGGCAGTAAAACAGGTGGTTAAACTGGCCCGAACAAGGACATGCAGCAGCTCAGGACTGTACACATGCCGTGGCCATGTGGCTTTGCGCTGCTGCAAAAATTAAACCTATCGCATTTGGCAGGCAGTACTGCCGCTGAACATGACACATTCAAGTTAAGGGGGCCATGGCGTGGTGCTGCAGCATTTTCGGGGTTTTATACATGTGATGAGGAGGAGTAATATCAACTCCCAGCCACCTGTCAAATGCCCTCTGAAAAGTGATTTACCATGGATCACTTTTCAGAAGGGAGGAAAGAAGATATGCGAGAATGAGCTCTAAGAAAGGACAGTTTGCAGAATCCTCCAACAGAATTATCAGATTGGAAGTTGGGGCTGAGTGCCTGTGTGAATGAGCCCTTATATATGGTGGCTGCATTTCTTTTCTCTATTTTCACCTTGTGATCTTGCCTTCCTTGAGTGACAACACTCACTCGCTATACTGTATCTTTATGGGTAACGTTGTCACTCATGGCTCCTCTCTTTGGACTTGGACTACGAACACCTCCCCCTCTCCTTATCTCCACTAGGAAGGAGGGGTTATACAGTCCAAAGAAGAAAGCTGGGAAGCTGATCACATTTCTGATTTCAGTTCAGTACGCATGATACAAGGATACTGGATTTCTAGCATTATCATAAATGATTTTTTTTTAACTTGCAGAAAAAAGTATTTGGCCTAAAAAAAAAGAAAGTTCTAAGGACTGCAGAAAAAGGAGGCTGTGGCATTGTACATTTTTGTTCTTGGGGTCAGATATTCTTACAGGTCTCTTCCCCACCCAGCCTATGACAAGACAATGAAGGAGAAGCAGTACACTGACAGGGGTGACTGTCACCCTGCTTTCTCCTCCTTTCAGCATGCTCCTTGTCAGCACATAAACTGATTGGCTTCTTGTGCTGCTTCTCCCTGTCCCAATCTGAGCTCTGTTGTACAGGAACTACAAGAGTTCTAAGTTAGATATAGTTAGAATAGATACTAAGTTCTATTCAGGTACTTAGACTGCTTGCATTAATACGAAATACAAAATTATGTATTAATGGATACAGAACTGCATTCATTTTTTTTTTTATAATCTGCCTGGAGTTCATCTTTAAAGTGTTACTAAACCCCGGACCCCGCATTCACTATATCTGGTCTCCCACAGTACACAAAATGGAAATGTCATTATATTTTAGTAAACATAAACTGTTAAATACCTTTTCTCATCAGCAGTATATATATGACTTCTATCAGTGTCCTGCCAAGCACTGGATAATCTTATAGGAGGAGATTTCATTCTCAATTGACTGTCCTATGAGGCTGCATAACCCGACCCTCTGTCCAGACAGAACTGATTGGCCCTGTGCTGATCAATGCACCATCCCAAAAAAAGAACTCTCTAGCAATACACACCAAACTGAGTTTGTGCAGACTTTCCAATGCTGCTCTGTACTATAGCAGATGGATTGGGGACAGTAGGAGGAGGAGGATCAGAGAAGACAGGATCAAACATCCTTTTTACAGAATGCAGAGGATTAACCTCTTAGGGTTAGGTATAACAAGCATACTCTACTGCATATACAGACTGATTTTACTGTTGTGGGTTTAGTAACACTTTAAGACTAGAAATACAGTGCGTTCCTTTACTATAATGTTTTTGGGTTCAGTTTAAATTAATTTTTTTGCCATCCTCCTGGTATAAACTCCCTCACACCTCCCCCTTTAACGAATCACTATATATATATATATATATATATATATATATATATATAAAAACAGCAACCCTATGCAAAAGCCCTTTTTACTTACCTGTAACCGCATCACATGACATGCTGGTCCTGAGTCTTCTCTAAGCGTCTGCCTGATGTAGACAATCCCTATTGGATATTCTGCAGCAGGGTCCTCCCGAGATCTAAAAAAAGTAGATGTCAGTGGAGAGGTGTGGAGGGGACTGACAGTCTCAGGGGGGCATCACAGTGCTGGATCAATGGTCCTCCCATCTAGAACATCGGCAGTGTGGGACCTGGAAGGGGGACTTAGATGAATATAGCTAGCCTCACAAGGTAGAAGGAAAAAAGACTAATAGAATGGGTTGGAGGCAGGTGAAAATGGCTGATAAAAAAAAAAAACAGTTTTTGCCTGGAATGGGGCTTTAAACATTTCCCTCCCAGTCCCTGCGTGCCTTTAGGACCGGCTGATCACATGACCACTGTCATTGCCGGTCACAGTGATCACATGATGGGCAGCTGGTTCCTCTGGCTCTGGATCATTAGTAGAGACAGGTGTCTTCATTGCTCACTGTGGAGGGAGCATGCAGTCAACACATTCTCACAGAGTAAGCTCTGTGTTCCGAGGGTCTCAGCACATAAAGCTCTGCATTACCTGGGTGACAAGAGGTTAAAGGTTATATTTTTTAATTGTTGTTGTTATGATTTAAATTGGCAGATATTTAACAATATATTGTTTCTTTAATGTATAAATATTTAATATATGATGAAGGATTCCCAGTGCTCTGGGGGTTAGCTGAGGAGACAACACAACGGATGAAGCTTACTTTGAAGCTCTGTTTGTCAGATTCAAACAGCAGAATAACAAAGCTTATATAATTTAGACCAGGGGTCTCCAAACTTTATAAACCAAGGGACAGTTTTCTGTCCTTTACGGGGGCCAGACTATGGTCAGTGGGAGAAGAAAATGCCCTGGCATCAGTGGAAGTAAACAATGCCCCATCATTGGTATTAGGGGGAGTAATACAGCCTCATCATTGGTATCAGTGGAAGATATAGTTCTCTATCATTGGTGTCAGTGGGAGGAATAGTGTCCCATCGTTGGTGTTAGCAATAGTGCCCCATCATTGCTGACAGTGGCTGAAGTGCCCCATCCTTAGTATCAATGGGAGGAATAGTGCCCCATCATTGGTGTCAGTGGAAGATACAGTTTCCTATTATGGGTGTCAGTGGGAGGAATAATGCCCCATCGTTGGTGTCAGCAATAGTGCTCCATCATTGGTGTCAGTGGAAGGATTAGTGCCCCATCCTTGGTATCAATGGGAGGCCTCATCATTGGTATAAGTAGAAAATATAGTTCCCTGTCATTGGTGTCAGTGGGAGGAATAGTGTCCTATCATTGGTGTCAGCAATAGTGCCCCATCATTGGTGTCAGTGGGAGGAATAGTGCCCTATCATTGGTGTCAGTGGAAGATATAGTTCCCTATTATGGGTGTCAGTGGGAGGAATAGTGCCCTATCATTGGTGTCAGTGGGTAGAATAGTGCTCCATCATTGGTGTCAGTGGGAAGAATAGTGCCCCATCGTTGGTGTCAGTGGAAGACATAGTTCCCTATTATGGGTGTCAGTGGGAGGAATAGTGTCCCATCATTAGTGTCAGCAATAGTGCCCCATAATTTGTGTCAGTGGGAGCAATAGTGCCCCATCATTGGTGTCAGTGGGAGGAATAGTGTCCCATCATTGGTGTCAGCAGTAGTGCCCCATAATTGGTGTCAGTGGGAAGAATAGGGCCCCATAATTGGTGTCAGTGGAAGACATAGTTCCCTATTATGGGTGTCAGTGGGATAAATAGTGCCCTATCATTGGTGCCCCACCTATCATTGGTGTCAGCAACAGTGCTCCATAATTGGTGTCAGTGCGAGGAATAGTGCCCTATCATTGGTGCCCCATTGTCAGTGCCAGTGGCAGGAACTATGCCCTACTGTTGCTAATGGTGGGAGAATAATGCCTCAGGGGCCTGATAAAAGTAAGCAAAGGGCCACATCTGGCCCCCAGGGTGCCGTTTGAAGATCATTAGTTTAGAAGGTTAAAAAAAAAGACATGAGCCCGTCCAGTTCAATCTGTGTTGTGATTGGGTCATTCATAAAACAACAATATGTTCCAGGTAGTGTGCAAAGGAAGTCATATGCCATATAGGTTGAAGTATTTATTCTATACAAGTGGTTTCAATATCTTCTTTTTACATTAAACATTGTATCGCTCTAAGCCATGTTGAGTGTGTGTATGGTGCTTCTTCTTGAACCCAAAAGTGGTGTGTTTGGGGAAGGGGGGGGGATGCCGTATATGTATGTGCAGGTAAATACTGATGCAGAAGACACAGCAACAGCTGCGCGCACCCATTCACTTGTATTTGTCATCTGTACGTGGCATGTGCACTTCTCAGGGCACCAGAAAGCTGAGGTTTTTATACCTTGGCACACAGGAGCTGCTCAGGCTCCGCAAAACTGAACCAATGTGTGCAATACAAATTAACCCTGGAATTGGACATTAATTTTTCTTTTTTTTTTTATAGGGGAAGGCCCCTAATGTATAAAACAGACCCTGCTTGTTGAAAATAAATTTAAAGGATTACTTGTTTAAGTAAATATGTAAAAAAACCACTATGCAAGCAAGACTAAGTTCAGGAACGCACACAAAACTGTGAGCTTTCCTGACACGTGCAGAAACGTGCTACCATTTAGCAGACGTGCGGCAGTGCCATTAATTGTTAATGGCACACCCACATAACTGCAAACTAAATGGTACCACAGCAGTGCGGCTCGTTTTGGGAAAAGAGTCAGGGACTTCTTTCCTATTTTTCTTGTGTGTAGGGCAGCCCATTGAAATGAATGGGCTGCTCTACCCTTCGAGGGGCAGGAACATACGGAAACGTGCCCGGTTGCACCTGTGGTGCCAATCAAGCCTAACAGTGAGGATCATGTTATATCGCTACGTGGCATAGGATTCTAAAGTACTCTGAGGCTAAGTGAAAAGAAGTGTAGGTAGGTGTTGATATTAAGAACAAAAAGCAGAGGATCCATCTAAATTGAATTACAAAACAGCTTGATTCGTCCAAAAAGGCAGCCGCTACCTTAGCTATGACATCTTTTGCAGAGCCAAGGTACTCTGTGAAGTCGGCATTCGAATCACCTACAGGACCATGGTGGTGGAGTTGTCATCAGTAAAAACTGTAGCCAAAGGAGAGTTCATGTTCTGAGATGTCTACCACCACCGTCACCTTCTATAGTACAGTGTATGCATAATATGGCCACCTTCTAAGGTGGGCGAATTACTTGTTCTGTCTTGTGATGATGCATTTAGATAGGCCCTATTTGTTCTAGATATTAGTTGACACAATATCTACTGAATATGGAAATCAGACGAGAGGCCATGCCACCTAGAGGCCTGGCCAAACGTTTTTCAGAATTACACAAATATTAATTTACCTGCAAGGAAACACGTGTAGTCATCATTGCTTTGCACAAAAAAGGATTCACAGGCAAGGATATTGCTGCTACTAAGATTGCACCTACATCAACCATTTATCAGATCATCAAGAACTTCAAGGAGAGAGCTTCAGTTGTTGTGAAGAAGGTTTCAGGGTGCACAAGAAAGTCCAACAAGTGCCAGGACCATCTCTTAAAATTGATTGAGCTGCGAGATCAGGGCACTACCAGTGCAGAGCTTGCTCAGGAATGGCAGCGGGCAGGTATGAGTGCATCTGCACGCCTAGTGAGGCGAAGACCTTTGGATGATGGCCTAGATGAAGGATTCTGTCCAAAAAAAAAAATATCAAGGACAGACTAGTATTCTGCAAAAGGTACAGGGATTGGACTGCTTAGGACTGGGGTAAAGTCCAAATGTTTGGAGCATCTGGAAAAAACCTTGTACAGAGAAAAAAAATAAAGGTGAGCGCTACCATCAGTCCTTTGTCATGCCAACAGTAAAGCATCCTGAGACCATTCATGTGTGGGGTTGCTTCTCAGCCAAGGGACTGGACTCACAATTTTGCCTAAGAACACAGACATGAATAAAGAATGATCCAAAAACATTCCCCGAGAGCAACTTCTCCCAACAATCTAAGAATAGTTTGGAGACGAACAATGCCTTTTGCAGTATGATGGAGCACCTTGCCATAAGGCAAAAGATAACTAAGTGGCTTGGGGAACAAAAGTTTTGACATTTTGGGTCCATGGCCAGGAAACTCCCAGACCTTAATCCCATGGAGAACTTGTGGTCAATCCTCAAGAGGCCAGTGAACAAACCCCCCCCCCCCCCCCCCCCACAAATTCTAACAAACTCCAAGCACTGATTATGCAAAAATGGGCTGCCATCAGTCAGGATGTGGCCTAGAAGTTGATTGACAGCATGCCAGGGAGAATTACAGAAGTCTTGAGAA